GTTTAGGGTTTAGGGTTGAGGATATTTATATGGGAACGAACAGGGATTTCTACTTATTCAAGTCTCTCATCTCTAGAGCTATGGCTGCGGCGTGGTGGGGTATCAGCTTCGGCTTGTGCGACAATGAGAAGGCATCCTAAGACGAATGCATCTTCTGAGCATTGAACACATGCACCTTGTGTTTAGGATTTTGAGTGTCAGGTTCATAGGGTGCTGAAGATAATTGCACTAAGTACACTATACACACTAGCTCAGCCCATCAAGCTTGAAGCCTAAACCCTAANNAACCTTGAACCCTAAACCCTACCCATAGGCCCCATAGTAGTTCCTGTTTGTGACTCATATTTAGGGTTCTATTAGGGAATCCCAAAAAGGAACTACTATGGGGCCTATGGGTAAACCCTAAAACCCTAAACCCTAAACGCTAAACCCTAAACCCCTAAACCCTAGCCCCAATCCCACAAAACCCTAAACCCCTAAACCCTAAACCCCTAAACCCCTAAACCCCAAACCCAAAAACCCCTAAACCCCTAAACCCTAAACCCACATAACATAGCCTAAACTCACGAATGAGGTCTTGGCATGCTTCTTGCGCAGGAACCGACCAGGCAGAACCTTAAACCCTGAACCCTACACACAACCCTAAACCTGAACCCTCAACCCTAAACCTGAACCCTCAACCCTAAAACCCTCAACCCTAAAATCCTGAACCCTAAACCCTAAACCCAACTTGGAGAGTCGGGAGACTTAGTAAGTGGGTATTAAGTAGACTTATAAGTACCCTAAAAGAGACCCTGATTGGGGTTATAGTACTTATAAGTCTACATAACCATTTACTAAGTCCCCGACCCTCCAAGTAAGCCCTAAGTCGGATCTCAGACAGACAGCTTCTGAGAGATTGAGTGATTCACTGCACGTCGGTCTGGGCTCCCAGGTTGTTGACCACTCAGGACTCAGGAGTTGGGCTAGGGTTTAGGGTTTAGGGTTTAGGGTTTAGGGTTTAGGGTAACCTAACGGAGTGGCCTCGACAACTGCTATAGAATCTTGAGGTATATTGTGGTCAACGGCGACTCAGAGGGGATAATTCTTAATTGTACTATTTCCACACTTCATACCTCCAATTGGTACACCCCAGAGCCCGAATTCACACAGGCAAGTCTGAAGCCACATCCAACAAAAGCCTGAAACTCAAGCGGTCACACGCGTATGAAAGAGACCCTTCAAACCAGTAGAAGAATAAGGTGCTGGCGTGCAAGTTCCTTAAAGCGTCGATCGAATGGAATATTACTTGTTGTAGGATAGGGCCCTTGGTTGCCCTAAACCCTAAACTCTTGATTGCCCCAAATCTGCCTCCTTCTCCGCCTGCGCGGTTCGGAGGCGTGCTACGTCAGCCTGCAACCAAGCTTTCAGAAGCCGATCGGAGCTTAATGATCAGAACCTGTGTCTTCTTACTGAAAGACACTCTGATTGCAATATGAAAACCTATTGCGATCATGTACATGACAGTGCAAATAGATATGCTTTGGGCGTTTACAAGTTTGTGCCATGGGACGTAGCTGAAGGCACAACTTGTACGCGCCTGAGGGTTTAGGGTTTTCGGGTTCCTGCAATGCACCCAAACCTCCAAACCCTACATCATGAGCGACAATCTACTCCTCAAGCCACCCAAGAAAAACACACAAACCCTAAACCCTACAGTAAATCCCTAAAGCCCTACGCTCGAAGCTGAATTCTTACCCTTGAAGCCGTCTACGCGCGAAACTGCAATACACAACCAGGGGTCGACCTCTAAACCCTAAACCCCTAAACCGGTAAACCCCTAAACCCCTAAACTATAAAACCCTAA